AATTCAATTCCCGTTGCCGCTTCTTTCTCTATGGCTCAATGCGACGAGCATTTTTGAAACTCTTATTATTCTCTACAGTATACGAATCATAACGCTGTAAAGGCTTCACCCCACGTACAACAAATACAAATAATCGCCAACAGAACCTAAACACCTAACCTAACCTATGCCTATATATGCACAATATGCTAATATATTGTGCATATATAGCACAATATTAACTTATATTTGAGAAAATCCCAGTTTTGAATAAACAGCATGTTAAAATTTATGAATGCATCTATGGGGTTGACCGCTGGATGCAATGGACTTGGAAATAATGGATGTCGGATATAAATGGATGTGGAGGACGGGTTGCGTGTGTAGATTGTTTTTTATTCATAAACAGGGGGTTTGTGGCAGGTGCGTGGAATGGAATTTGGCCTTTGTTTATGAGGACGGGCAGAAAGCAGAGGTGTAATAGGCATGCTGAGAGAGAACTTTGTCAACATCAAAGGCCCAAGACTTTTCAACACATACGAGGTATAACTGGCAGACCTCTTGCCGTGTTCAAAAGTGAACTCGGCAAGCATTGTCAAAGGATACCTGATGAACCCGGCTGCTACTCTTACGTCAGGCTGTGAGCAGCCACATCAAACAGCCTGGTTCATCAAACCAGCAACCAGGAGGCCTGGTCGAAGACTGGGCCGCAGGGACGGTTGTCCTCGGAATCATCAACAGGTAGACAGGACAAAACTTCCTCCACAGAACCCAGTCCATCCTTCTGTTTTGATAGTACTTATGGTAACAATGAGGACCACAGTATATATACTGACGACCATCGAAATTAGAACGTAGAAATCTGAACTACTGAGTTGTACAAACCCGAAAACTATATTTTACTTATGTTGATTTGACAAACTAAACTAACCAAATCTTCCTAGGCCTAATACACGATATCTGAGGCCTAATATAGTACATGTGTGTGCTTTACTAGGCCTAGGAATACTTGAGTTTTTTTCTAGGATTGTTTTTTACCTTCATTTATTTTAAAAGAATTCCTTACTAGTCAGAATACTATTATCTAAAAGTAAAGTACGTTAGAATTCGTGACTATTGACGATCGTGACAATAGGTACCATCTAAACAAGAGGCTGCATTGCAGAACCAGGACAAGAATTCCTCCAGCAAAAAAAATATATTTATATAAATAAAATACTTCCCAAAGACCCTGAATCCTCAACAACCTACATAACTGAGGAATGAGTCCTACTTGATCCTACTTACACAAATAAAATTTATATACAAAAGGAAACAAGCAATATAGAAAGCCTAGTATAAGACAAACCTGCTAGTTCTAGCTAACTTCCCTGGCACCTGATGGTCCAGCCAGTCCTCCAAATGTTTCCCAACGTCAAGAAATTGTCGTACTAAAGTGCCATATCCTAACCTACCAGAGGACCCAACACAGAAAAAAGGACAGTGTGTCAATTTCGCGAGCCGTTACCATTTTCTAGTACGACAAATTGTGGCCTTAGGTGGAGTATACGTCAAAATGCGACGTTCTATTAGGAGGACTGGTTGGATAATCTTCACCCAGGCAGCCACCCGGCGCCGGCAACCGTCTACTGGCTCCCAATTGAAATCGAATAGAAATTTAAATTATTTATACCTCAATAAACTTCACACAAAAGGATGAGGTAGTTCAAGCCATTCTCACCCCGTTCAGTACAACGGTTCTTATATATATATAGACACACTTCACAAACAATATGCATATTACCGAATATTCTGAGTGATAAACATATACATTTCTTTCTTTACACATGCAATATGTTACAAGACGTACACCCAAATACTTTCATGACTAGGTAACAGACAATTTGCAATAGACATTCAGACAATTCAACATAAGCTTACAATCAGAGTGCAAAATTCTTATCTCTCTCCGGAATATCATCAGTCTTTCCGTTGTGACACATCCAGGTTATTTGTTCAGGAACAGTCCTTATCTCAATGTTTCTGTATACATTAATCAACGGACAATCAAGAACATAATGGGCAAGGGTGTGAGACCTTAAAATACCATATAGTTTACACTTGGTGTCATTATCATTAACATCTATCCCATATTCCTAGTAATATTTGTACCAAAGCCTGAGCCGCATGTGCACTCATTCAAAGCATTTCTTCTTTTACCATAAGTGAAATGTTGGTGTTTTGACTTACACACATGTAGTGTTGCATGGTTAGGCTTCCCTCATACATTATACCTCTCCTCGCCACTTCTGCCTGTGCCTGAATATTTCTGATTTTGTTTCTTATTTGTTTCATTGTTAAAATACATTCAATGTCAACTTGTGGTTTTGATGTGGGTGTGTTTGGCCAGGTCATCCGCCACCTCGTTGACCACTATTCCAACATGAGATGGAATCCACATGAATTTCACTTTATGACCTTTCAGCTGTATCTCATTTATCCTTTTCTTACAATCCTCAACTATGGACATGAAGACTGGATTTCGACTGTTTAAGGAATCAAGTGCTCCTCGGCTATCGACAGACACAAAAACATCTTTGTCGTCTTGACATACTTCCTCCAAACAAGCCAGAATGGCCTGCAGTTCAGCTTGTGTGGATGATATATAATTACCAAGTCGAAGTTCAGTTTTCCTGTCCACAGTTCCATACTGACACCACACCCTGCCCTGCCATCCTCCGCCACCGACCCGTCACAATATACTTGTAGACTATTGTCTCGTGGTAACCCAGATATCATGCTCCATACACACACCGTAGTTGTCCCAGTTCATGTTGAATCTGTCACCTTTAGGGAGCACAGTTTCCACTTGTACTGTCTGTACGTTCCAGGGAGCAGACCTATTACACTGTGTCAAGAGGGTTTACAGCAGTCAGGTACATCGTATTCCCTGAGGTCATGAGGTAATCCCCTCATGTAGCATGTCTCTCTCAGTGTTCTGCAAGTGTGTACGTCACTCAGGCAGGTCTGAACGCTGTGAAAAAGCTTAATCCTCTCCTCATGAAGCCAATAGATACTTTAGCGTTAATATCACGGACTCTAATCATACACACACTGTAAGTTTAATTCCATCCTCATTATTTCAATCATTGCGTTTCTTTGACATCCAAGAAGAATTTGCATTTGACATCCTCATAGCTTCGTTCTGTATCAGCTCCAGTTTTTTTTTAATTCTGCCTTGCCTGGTTCCCAAGGCTCAGTACCAACTCTCACAAAACTACCACTATCACAACAAATCAATAGTGGAAGCGCCACTAAACTTCACCATCCCACTGTCACCAATATTTGAATGATGTCGCCAGCGGCGGGTAGTTTATTGTGTATTCAATAGTCACTCTGCGAACGGTATTACTGTGCACATTTATGAGTGGGCTGGAAGCCTCATCGCTAAGTAATCCCATACTACTTCATTATTGCTCCTCGTTCTTGAAATATGATTAGATACGCTAATGTTAAATTGAATATGTTTAGTTAGTAATCTCTTAAGCATTGGTAGACGTATGCAAGTTGTCCAGTAGGCAATAACTTAGTTTATTAAAATAAAGCTGGTGATGGTTTAGTTGCCTCAAGTTATTTTATATGATGACATTTCTTTATTAAAAGTAATTAATTGACCTATGCAAATGGTTATAGGCATATATTCTGATGAATTAACAAATAAGTTATGATTTAATTTACATGTCCTGTTTCGCAAATTGCAGTTCTTGTAATTTGCATATTGATTATAAGAAGGGAAGGGAACTATGAGGAGAAAGTACGAAGCCATTACGACAATATATAACACTTACGAGGGGTCAGGGATAAGAATTTGGGATGGGACGGGGGATAGGAATATTGCCCAACCACTTGGACTGTCGGGGAAATGAACGCCGACCTTATAAAGCGAATATAATAGTATTATTCAACCAGAATGCACAATTAACATAGGAATTGAAGTTTATTTATAATGAGTATTTTTGGTATTGTAAATTTAATGGATGAACCAACTTGTATACACGATAGCTAATGCAACTCTCAAGTTTATACCTAATGTCATCTGTATGGCTGCTAGATATTTTATTGTATGTAAAGTTTCCCCGGGTAGGAATATGTATAATACTAGCAAGATGTTAAATGGTTAATCAGCAATTTCACCTGATATTTAGCATAACCCAGTTCGTTAAAAGCAAAAGGCAACGCTGGGGAGAGATCCCAACCTGGCGCAGTTCACAGCTAGTCGGTGTGCAGGCGTCGTCACGTGCGGATGGACACGCTTTTCTGGCCGATTTTTGTGCTTAATTAAATTAAGTATTCTTCTTACTTCGTTTAGTTGTGGTTAGAATGTGAGGCTTATATTGTTAGTTATGTAAATTATCATCATCAGCAAGTAGTAGTGTTCCCGCAATACGTATATAAATAACGAATAATATTTTTGGTGGAGTATTGGTAGCAAAGGTGATAAATAAAGTTCTCCCTGAAGCTATGACAAAACCCTACACCCCGAGGTGGCATGGGGAAGAAAGGAACAAAATTATGGGGGGGGGGGGGGTGACCGGGCATGGATAGCCTGTATAGCCGCCCTTCAGGCAGCGTGTAAAAGAGGTGACGAAGTGTATTTTGGGACGGTATTGTCAGGCCTCGTGGGCTATGGGAGCGCAGGATCAAGTGTTGCCAGGAAGGTGTTTGAGGAGGCTGAATAAAGAAGAGACGCCAGCCTATGCAAATGTTAATACAGGCTATTCCACTTACGGGCTATTCATGCCTGTGCCACTTCTTGGGTGGCTTAATCTTTATCAAACAATCATTCGGTGGCAGACCTCATTACTGGACAGGACCTCGATGCAGAGGGCCAGGACCTGAGATGGTCTCAGCCAGAAAGCTGAGGATTGGTTCAACAAATGGTGGAGTGGTTCCTGCTCCTCTCCACCTCGAAGACCAGATTGCCGGGACACACCACAGACTGTTGCTATAATCAACCCATTTTGCTGCATATGGTTTGACAGCCATCAATGTTTCTGATACAGTACTTGTTGCTCCTGCACCGGGCAACTTCAACCTCGGCTACACCTGCTCCGACAACACCTACCGTCACAGATGCAGTTGACAAGCTTGTGGGTGCGCGCTCTACACCAGTCGGCAGGTTTTCTTCTCGTCAATCACCCACTATTAATGTCCCAGCTGACACGCTTGCGGACGTGCTTTCTGTTCCGGCCGGCAGTACTAATGAAGCTCAAGCCTCTGCATCTAACCCTGCAACGCCCCTGCAGCCCTCTACCGTAGAGGGCTCCTTCTCTTCAACCGACTCCAACGCCTCAGTCAACATTACCGACGCCCCTACCACCACGCCTATACACGCCACTGTCCCAGGGGCCTGAGAGGTACCCACACCGACTCCGCAAGCTGATCTGGGAGGAGAGAATCAACAGGTCCACCTGCTTCAACGTAGCGTGGCAGAGACGGTGCAACACGAAGTGCAAGTACACCTACATGTTCGTCCCGTGGAGACACGTTGAGAGTTCTGCGATCTTGTACACGGGGTGTTCTGGAGGCCACCATAGCCCCCCCCCCCCTGATCTATTATTCAGGGTTAAGTATTACCATTACTAAAAAGCGGAAATAAAGAAATAGTATTGTTAATATATCAGTGAAACTAAACACCGTGAAATAATATAATTTACAGTAATAATTTGTCGCCCTGTGCGGAATATTCAGTGATCGAAAATGTGTTGCCATTTAATTAAATTCTCATTATGATAATTCCCCAAAATACCAAGTTAGAACAAATATGCCACTCCAGACAATTTATTTAGCGCCATTCAATAAATACCGAACAATTTATTTTCAGTATTAAAGATTTGTTTTCCTTATAAATGGGTGTTTGAAGCATCGTTGTGACGGGCAGCCAGAGGCTTAGGGCCCGCGCAGGAATAGAAAAAAAATAGAAAAATTTGACGTCATTAAATTGAAAATTTAGTTTTCTGGCTGGGCAAACAAGTCAATCTAGCTAGCTATTTAAACATACCCTTGTATTTTTTGTTTTGTTTTGTTTATTATCCAGTCACTGATAAATCCATTCTTAAAATCTATGTTGACTTAAATATATGTTGTTGTTAATCAAGTGTGTGGCGCTGTACGATTAATGTGGAAAGATTGTTTTTTTTTTCACCGATATGTAGTGACATTGACGTTTTTTTTCCGATATGTGACTCGATGTTTTTTTCCACTACTTGAATCATGTTTTTCTCTGATATGTGAATCGATGTTTTTTTTCTACTATGTGAATCGATGTTTTTTTGCCACTATGTGTATCGCTGTTTTTACCTCTGATATGTGAAGCGCATCACTAGGCTGTACTTTTTTATCTTTAACGTCTTTTTTCTCTTTTCCGATCAGGAGAGGACAACAAGCTGACAGACCTGATAACATAATATAATACCATTAGCAAAAAAAAAATTGTATTGCTTAATATAATATTTTTGGAATTTAGGTTAATTTAAGAGTGTATATTGTGGTTCAAAGTGGGATAGAAGACATAGTTAACCACTATTAACTATTATATATATATTACTGTTAACTAATATTATATATATATATATATATATATATATATATATATATATATATATATATATATATATATATATATATATATACCACACACACATACATACAGTATATATTACCCACTGTTACAGTGTGGTCGGCAGTGTTAAACGTTACAGAGGTTCACTACTATACAGAAACTAAACCCCAAAATTTGTGTAGCTAAGCAAGTTACAGCGTTGACGAGCAAGTTACAGCGTTGACGAGCAAGTTACAGCGTTGACGAGCAAGTTACAGCGTTGACGAGCAAGTTACAGCGTTGACGAGCAAGTTACAGCGTTGACGAGCAAGTTACAGCGTTGACGAGCAAGTTACAGCGTTGACGAGCAAGTTACAGCGTTGACGAGCAAGTTACAGCGTTGACGAGCAAGTTACAGCGTTGACGAGCAAGTTACAGCGTTGACGAGCAAGTTACAGCGTTGGTTAAGAAGGACATCAACGGAGTATTCACAATGCACCAAACATCACCGCGACCCTAACACAGCCAGTGAGAGAGTGAGTGTAATTAGAGGTCCTCTAGCGAGGGAGTCGGTGCAGGCAGATCACAACCCCAGGAACCCGAGTTCGATTCTCCCGGCAAGACACGACCAATTTGCCTCTGTTCACCAAGTAGTAAAATAAGCAAGCTTGGGAGCAAGGCAACTGTTGTGAGTTGCATCCCGGGGGAAGGGCAGGAGTTGGCAGAGGTGTACCACGATGAGCGTATAAACTCATCGTGGTACCTCTTGAAGGTAGAGGTAGATGTAATCTACCTCTACAAGCCCGTTATAACGGGCTTCCTCTCCCAGACTACACGAAACTAGCTCCATATGGCCTCAATGCCCACCTTACTGGGCGAGGTTAGGTTATCTTGAGATGATTTCGGGGCTCGATCCTCGGCCCGGTCCTCGACCAGGCCTCCTTTTTGTTATATATTCCCAGGAAGCAGCCCGTAGCAGCTGTATAACTTACAGGCACCTATTTACTGCTAGGTGAATAGGTGCATCAGGGTAAAAGAAACTCTGTCCATTTGTTTCCCCCTCCACCAGCGTTCGAACCCGCGACCTTAGTTAGGACTATGAATCCCTAGAGCTGTCCACTCAGCTATCAGGGCTCCCTGTTCAGGTCAGGCTGTCAGGTAAAGAAAGATGTGTGTTAAATAATGGGTTCAAGTACTGGACTCCGGTGATATTTAAGCTCAACAGTTTACACTTACAACAGTTCAACGTCCTCCCAGCAAGCATAAGAATATTGCCGGAACAACCGTGGACATTTTCAAGAGGAAACTAGATTTATTCCTCCAAGGAGTGCCGGACCAGCCGGGCTGTGGTGGGTATGTGGGCCGCTCCAAGCAACAGCCTGGTGGACCAAACTCTCACAAGTCGAGCGTGGCCTCGGGCCGGCTTGGGGAGTAGAAGAACTCCCAGAACCCCATCAACCAGGTAACCAGGTAACCAGGTACATCTGCGGTGAGCTAATGACGTGCAACTACCATTTGTCTATCATGCACCCGGCGCCCATCCAGTGGGAGGCTGGGGAAAGGTTACAGTCAGCAACACACCACCCACAATCACAATGAGAAACATTGGGCAGAGTTTCTTTCACCCTATGCCCCTGTTACCTAGCAGTAAATAGGTACCTGGGTGTTAGTCAGCTGTCACGGGCTGCTTCCAGGGGGTGGAGGCCTGGTCGAGGACCGGGCCGCGGGGACACTAAAGCCCCGAAATCAAGATAACCTCAAGATAACCCACAGCCAGTGAACTTGCAGTACTTCTGTAAACGGTAGTGCATCTTTTAGTCAGAAATACCCAATTTCTGAACATTTGTGATAGTGACCCTTGATCACCACATACAAGATTCTCAGAGGACTTAATAGGGTCGATAAAGACACTTTATTTAATGCAAGAAGCACGCACAAGGGGACACTGGTGCTAACTGAGCACCCGGATGAGCCACAGGGAAGTTAGAAAGAACTTTTTAGTTTCAGAGTAGTTAACAGGTGGAATGCATTAGGCAGTGACGTGGTGGAGGCTGACTTCATACACAGTTTCAAGTGTAGGTATGACAGAGCCCAGTAGGCTCAGGAACCTGTACACCAGTTGATTGAGAGTTGAGAGGCGGGACCAACGAGCCGAAGCTCAACCCCCGCAAGCACAACTGGGCGAGTACAGTGAAGCAGAGTGTGTGAATAGTTTTGCTGACAGTTTACATTTGGCCAGGTCTGGCCCCCGCAGGTCCAGGTCTGGCCCCCGCAGGTCCAGGTCTGGCCCCCGCAGGTCCAGGTCTGGCCCCCGCAGGTCCAGGTCTGGCCCCCGCAGGTCCAGGTCTGGCCCCCGCAGGTCCAGGTCTGGCCCCCGCAGGTCCAGGTCTGGCCCCCGCAGGTCCAGGTCTGGCCCCCGCAGGTCCAGGTCTGGCCCCCGCAGGTCCAGGTCTGGCCCCCGCAGGTCCAGGTCTGGCCCCCGCAGGTCCAGGTCTGGCCCCCGCAGGTCCAGGTCTGGCCCCCGCAGGTCCAGGTCTGGCCCCCGCAGGTCCAGGTCTGGCCCCCGCAGGACCAGGTCTGCCCCCCCCGCAGGACCAGGTCTGCCCCCCCCGCAGGACCAGGTCTGCCCCCCCCGCAGGACCAGGTCTGCCCCCCCCGCAGGACCAGGTCTGCCCCCCCCCCCCCCGCAGGACCAGGTCTGCCCCCCCCCGCAGGACCAGGTCTGCCCCCCCCCCCCGCAGGACCAGGTCTGCCCCCTCGCAGGACCAGGTTTGCCCCCCCCCCGCAGGACCAGGTCTGCCCCCCCCCCCCGCAGGACCAGGTCTGCCCCCCCCCCCGCAGGACCAGGTCTGCCCCCCCCCCGCAGGACCAGGTCTGCCCCCCCCCCGCAGGACCAGGTCTGCCCCTCCCCCGCAGGACCAGGTCTGCCCCCCCCCCCCCGCAGGACCAGGTCTGCCCCCCCCCGCAGGACCAGGTCTGCCCCCCCCCCCGCAGGACCAGGTCTGCCCCCCCCCCCGCAGGACCAGGTCTGCCCCCCCCCCCGCAGGACCAGGTCTGCCCCCCCCGCAGGACCAGGTCTGCCCCCCCCCGCAGGACCAGGTCTGCCCCCCCCCCGCAGGACCAGGTCTGCCCCCCCCCCCCGCAGGACCAGGTCTGCCCCCCCCCCCGCAGGACCAGGTCTGCCCCCCCCCCCCGCAGGACCAGGTCTGCCCCCCCCCCCCCCCGCAGGACCAGGTCTGCCCCCCTCGCAGGACCAGGTCTGCCCCCCTCGCAGGACCAGGTTTGCCCCCCCCCCCGCAGGACCAGGTCTGCCCCCCCCCCCGCAGGACCAGGTCTGCCCCCCCCTCGCAGGACCAGGTCTGCCCCCCCCCTCGCAGGACCAGGTCTGCCCCCCCCTCGCAGGACCAGGTCTGCCCCCCCCCCCCGCAGGACCAGGTCTGCCCCCCCCCCGCAGGACCAGGTCTGCCCCCCCCCCCGCAGGACCAGGTCTGCCCCCCCTCGCAGGACCAGGTCTGCCCCCCCCTCGCAGGACCAGGTCTGCCCCCCCCCCCGCAGGACCAGGTCTTCCCCCCCCCCGCAGGACCAGTCTTCCCCCCCCCCCGCAGGACCAGGTCTTCCCCCCCCGCAGGACCAGGTCTGCCCCCCCCCGCAGGACCAGGTCTGCCCCCCCCCCGCAGGACCAGGTCTGCCCCCCCCCCCGCAGGACCAGGTCTGCCCCCCCCCCCGCAGGACCAGGTCTGCCCCCCCCTCGCAGGACCAGGTTTGCCCCCCCCCCGCAGGACCAGGTCTTCCCCCCCCCCCGCAGGACCAGGT